CAAATGACTACTCTCTTACGTTTTTCGAAAAAAGTCTGATTTTCGAGTAAAATTTAAAAGACGAACTGAAAACACTTTTACTTAAATTATATGACAAACACTAATCATTCGGTTAATTATTTGAATAAATAAATTAATAATATTAGTCGTCATTTTAATGATTTTATTAGAGTAATACTCAAAAATACCTCCATTTCCACGAACACAGATGCGACATCTTTTTAATAATGAAAATGTAATTTGTTCGAAATTTATTGTTGTTTGAATGAAAAGCATTATTTATTCTTTCTTCTAACTGCTCAGGTATATTAATTTGTTCACTGTATACCAGCTGTTTAACAGTACCCCAAAAGAAGAAATCGAGTGGGTTGACATCCGATGTTTTTAGATAGTTTTTCAAGTTTTATTCGAAAATCACGTTTTTTTTTTAAACATAAGAAAGTAGTAATTTGTAGAAAATTGAAGGACGAATCCGAAAATATCATTTTTGTTATCGTAAAGCAGTGGCGTACTATTTTATTTAGAAAAATACACCACCGACACCCTGTATCTCCGCCACTGGAGCCTCTTAATTTTAGGAAAAGGTTTCAGATTTTGGATAATGTTTACATACATACATATGCCCTATTTCAAATTATTTCACTTACTAGTTTATAAATTATTTAAAAATATTAAAAATATTTTTTAAGTTTAACACCCTGTATCTTTTTAATGAAGCGTCCTAGATAAAAACTTTATACGAAAGACTCCTCTTAAAATTCACCAAAGAATACGAGGTTTCATATTTGGTCCCCATTTGTGAATCATCCTGTATACCTTTTTAGACGAATATAACAATTATCAAGTTAAATTAAAATATTTGTTTACCAAATATAGTACGTTTCAATTGGCTACTAAACCAACCAGGGTTACTGCTGCAACTGAGTCACTTATTGATTTAATAGTTACATCACGTCCTGAAATTGCTGTAGCTATTGTAGCTTTTAGAATGGATGAAATCTCCGACCATCATTTTGTTAATTATAAATTAAAATTATTAAAACCTCTTTAGCAAATTATTTAAAAAACTTATAGAGGCATCAAATTCATTCTTGCATAATCTATCTTTTGGGACATTATGTATTAGTTTGAAAATGTAATATTTTTTAACAAAAATGTTATGCTATTGTTTGACACTCGCGCACCTTTGAAAACTTCGAATATAACTAAACTACTGGCACCATGGCTTATTGATAATTTAAAATCAATGATTATGTTGAGAAAAAAACCTTCAACCAAATACAAACGATTAAAAACAGATGTATCGTCTGAAGAATATAAAAACATTATTTTAGTAACATGTCAGTAGGATTGAATTATTTAATTTTGTACTCCTGATGGATCCCAAGATTTTTTTAAACAGTGTACCTATAATTGGTGGAAATAATAATAATAATAATAATAATAATAATAATAATAATAATAATAATAATAATAATGATTTTATTGAGGTGGTGGAGAAACTGTTTAAAGATGTTTTTACTCCATACGCCTTACCTAAACAATCATATTGCGTTTATTATCAGTAAGTGTTTCTTATCTGGACAATTTCCTAGATTATGGAAAAATGCAAATACTACTCCGATACCTAAGACTAGTAACCCTTATCCACTTAAACCCATTCACAGTTTAGGCCATTCTTTCAGTTACCTATGTCTAAAATTCTTCAGAAAATATGTGCAATACTTATTGAAAATGTCTTACTCTGAATAAAGGAGTACCCCAGTGCAATGACAATTATAAGTACACAAATTTATAATTCTTTTTGATATAATGAGTTAGAAAATGTGGTTCTAAATATTAATGTAGATCTTGACAATATTTTGAAATTCTCAGTCTCAGATTTAATTTCAATGAGAAGAAAACGTAATTACTTGTGTTTGGTAATTATCGGTTTTTTGTTTTAGGCAACCCTGTATTCCAAATTAAGATTAATACTTCTGTTATTGTTTCTATAAATGAATGCAAAAAAATCTGGATTTTTATGGACGTAGAACTTAGATTCAGGTCACGCGTAACCACTTTAGTTCAAAATTATAAACCATATATATTCTATCGTCTATTAACTTGCTTTATTTCAGACGGACAAAAACGGTGCTCAAAAAGTACAAAATACATGCCTTAGAATTTACAATTTAAGAAAATTTGAACATATTTCAGGAGATCTTAGAGACTCTTGATCTGAACGATATAAAATACACCATGTATTGCCTAGTTTATAAAATAATACCATTGGGAATAATACCATTGGTTCCTGAATATTTAGCTAATAAGCTTCGTAAAAACTGCAATATTCATTATCGAATGGCTCGCTATAGAGAGCTGTTAAATACTCCTCCTCATAGTTCAGTGTTCCAGCACAGCTTCTTCCATAATGCAGTTAATAACTTCAAATAACTTTCTGTTTATTGATAGTAAGGCAGTTCATAGCCTTAGTATATTTCAACGTTAAATTTTTGATTTACAATGCTTGTGATCAAATTAATCTATTTCTGTTGTGATCAGTAGGTAATGCGGCACTTGGGCTAGACAGACGCTCTAGACGCTGGCGCCGCGCCGCGATGCCGTTTAGCGACTCGCGGTGGTAGGGGATCGAGATCCGGGGCCAGAAACTCAGTGTAAATCTAGATGAAGTCTTGTTTTTTTTTTATCAATTCACTTTCACCTCCACTTTCCTGAGGCCCTGACCACTTTTTCTTCTACCAATCAGAATATTTCCTTTCTGAAGAGAATGTCTCCTGCGGTAAATTCAAAGTTGGTTGCGAATTTTATTTAAATGAAAAATTTACTCTCCGAGATTCGAACCCCGATACTTTTGATTCCAAAGCGAGCATTCTACCTCTAGCTAGACCACAACGGGAATACTGTGACTCGTATATTAATGCTAAATAATATTTCAGCTATTGATGAGAAATTTGAAAATCTTAAGATGGAGGATTTACGGTTGGTAGCGCTGTGTGGTAACAGTGGAAAAAAATTATTGGAAATCCTAAATCTGAAGATAGGAAATTTGAAATCTGGGGAATTATACGTTCGGCGGCGATAGAGTAAAATTGTGGAATAGCTTCCGGAAAATTCAAGCTCAGGCCTCTTGAATACACATTGCATTAACATAAGATGTCTATACAGGGTGTTTCAGAAAGACCTCCCGTAAATCCAAAGATAGTACGTCAAAAAATAATAATTTTTTGTCTTATGAACTATATCTCCTCTTGTTTTCGAGATATACAGCGACAAAATACATTTTTTTAACTAGAATTTTTATGAAAATTTCCAAACGTTGCGAAATATTCTTATGAAATTTGGTGTTACGCTACATTCCTATTACATTTTAAGTTCTAATTTTTTTAAGGTTAGGTTTTTTACCATTCGGGCTCCAATTTCTAATGTAAAATTTTATTTTCTAAAAATAATGTACTCTTGTTAGAACTTCCTAATGTGGACGGTTTTCGAGAAAAAAGGCTTATAATATTACGGTGTATAAAATAAGTGACTTTTCTCAAAGTAGGCTTATGTCAAAACCTATTGATGGATGTCTTATAAACAGCGCATACATTCTTAGTAATATTTTAAACTCTAATTAACTAAAATTCTATTTAAAAAATTTTATTTTGTTGCTCTGTATCTCGAAAACAAGAGGAGATAGACATATAGTTCATAAGACAAAAAATGCTTATTTTTTGTCGTACTATCACCCCCTGTATTTACGGGAGGTCTTTCTGAAACACGCTGTATATCTTACTAACGGCTTGAAATATCGAAAAAATAAAATTAGAAACCCCATGTCGTATCTAGCGATTTTGCATCAAACTTCTTCCAGAGACTTTTGTTCAATGTCGTTCCATCGCTGACGCCAGCTAACGTAAAAGCTACTCACGTGCCTACTATAAGCTACGTCCACAAAATGCAGGCGACAGACATGCGCATATTTGTACATCTACCGGATGTTTTTTAAAATAGCACAACTCTTGTAATTTTTATACGGGTTCTCTGATTGATGCTAAATTTTATATTCAAAGAGAAAATGGAAGAATTGAAATGTTGCCAGATTGTTACTGAATGCCAAATTTGACGTTAATCATATGTACCTAAGTTATAGGGTTAAGTCATTTAAAGATCACTAAATACATTTTTGAATGAAAAAAAATATACGATAGATAGATATTTTATTCTTTGAGACATAAAATGTATAAGAAACGTCATAACAAGTTATTAAAAAAGAAATTACATTTTAACAAATATTTAAACACACGTGATACCTATATAAAAAACANCGTACGTGTCTTTTGGTGTATTTGTCTGTCTGGTATATTGTTTGTCGGGGGCCGCAATTTTAAAGAAATGTATTCTAAAGTAATGCAAATAACTGATAAATAAGTAAAAACTTACCTGGGCATAACCCCGGCACAGGTACCTGTTACAAAGATGCCGACGACGTCTATGCTTAAGCCGGGGATTAGGTCGGTGATTAAAAGGAAAGAAAGGGATTCTTTCCAGGTAGCCTTAATAAAGGTAGATCTTGCTCGTTGCAATGCACTTCACCTCACAAACAAACACGTCTGCTCAGCTCGGCTGTTCGCTCTGAACTGAAAACGGTACCGCTGTTGTATCACTACAATTATGAGTGGAAAGGTGACATATTTGAAATTTATTTGCTTCTTTGATACGTTGGTAGAACTGATTCATGCGTCATAAAACTTGACAAAGTCTGTAGCAGTGTAAAACCAACCTGTTTACCAATCAATTCGTGAATTAATTCATGAAGAACTTCGTCAATTTATTCATCAATAAATTGTCAATGTAAAACAGCTATAAGGCGATAAGCTACCTTAAATTATTATTTCCAACAGAATTCAATATTTTCTTTTCTATTTTCTTTCACAGAACACAGATACAAACATCCCATGGAAAGTTTTCTTTGACTCAGTGGTTCCATTGTGATTTGACTAGTTGTGACGTAATAAGTTATCATAATAGGCAAGTGTTTATATGGAAGATTTTCATCTCTTCTATTTCAACTAAGTAGTTAAATTGTATTTTATGTTTAATATGAGTAATATTGGACAATTTAATAACAAAAATAATCCATGGGGTAGATCGAATACTTCGCCCAATATGGTGAATCAAGGTTCACTGCAACCTCAATTAATGAATCAAGGGGCTTTAGGTAACATAGGTACTTCTGGAATGGTACAATTTCAACAACAACATCAACAACAAGTATTTCAAAATGCCATGGGATTACAACAACAGAACTTAGGATTAGGATTACAGCAAATGGCAAACGCAGCATCTCTAAATTCACAAATTGCTTCAAATTCAATTTTTCAACAAGTTGGGGCAGTAACGTATCCCAATCCCAGAGGCTTAAATCCCACAGCTTTTCAAACACAAAACATTACAGCAGTACCACCTGTACAAAATAATACTAACTCTGGAACAAAACAAAGGGTTTTTACTGGAACAGTTACCAAAGTTCATGATAATTTTGGTTTTGTCGATGAGGACGTATTTTTTCAAACAAATGCTTGTGTTAAGGGTTCTAACCCCATGGTGGGTGATAGAGTATTGGTGGAAGCATCATATAATTCTAGTATGCCCTTTAAATGGCATGCTACTAGAATACAAGTGTTACCGATGACAAATCAAACCCCTACAAGACATTCAAATAACTCTAAAAATTTTTCGAATACAAGTACATATAATGCCGTCCCTCCTCCATCAGATGGATCAAATGGAAATCATTTTAGTAGAAGTAACAGACCGAAAACATCTCTCGGGGGCCGTGGAAGGGAACGGTCTAGAGATAGAGATAGAGATGATGATGAAGTAGAAAGAAAACGGAGACGTGAGGAGAGATTAAGAGAAAGAGAAAAAGAAGAAAAAAAATCCCCAGTGAGGAGACGATCTCGGTCTCCAAAGTCAAGAAGGCGTTCAAGGATTGTTCCCAGATATATGGTTCAGGTTCCTAAAATACCATTAGATATGTGAGTAAGAAATTAATTAAGTTCATAATGAGTTAAATAAGACATTCTGAGTAACATTCTAATTTTTAAATCATAATTTAAAATAATAGTCATTTTCCTGACTAAAAACAGCTAAGTAATGTTTAATTTCTGAAAAACAAATAAACAATTAAACAATATTATTGTTATGTATAATATATTAGTTTTCTATTTATTTTATGTCTCCATTCATTTTCAATATATTTTCTGAACTTCTTTTATAATTCCAAGGCTCCTTGTTCTATTCAATAATTGTAAACTAATGCTTCACTCGAGGCTTCACTATAAATAGTTACTCTTGCCTCCAAGTTTAAAAAATGTTTTATTTAATAATTTTGCGATTACTTTTTCCAGTTAGGCTTTTCTTTCAAATTTTGTGGTTATTATTGGTAATAAATTGCATATGTCTTAAATAGCAGGGTACTAAGGAACTACAACATTGATGGGTTTTGATTGCATGAATCGTTCAAACGGTTATTCAGAAAGGAGAAACCCCGGAGAAGTTAAATTAGAGGGTGGAAATTGGAGATAGGGTTGAAAATGACACCCTTATGGTTTTTTGAGTATATCTCGAAAACGAAGCAAAATTTGAGGGTATTGCATAGGAAAAATTTTTGTAGATAATGAGATTTTCTATCGAAATAGCTTATTTAAAAAATTTATTTACTGCAAAATATATTAAAGACAATTTAACAAAAAAATGCAAAAAATTCAATTTTTTGTTTTTTTTTACTTTTATGCAACATTTTTTTGGGCAGAGATAGGTATAGGCATTGCTTCATAGAAAAAAAAAGTATATAAAATTTCCTACAAAATGATGAATTATAGAAGCTTTTCGATGAAAATAAACTGAGTTATAGTCGTTCAAATTTTGCCATTTTTTTCGGTTTTTACTGAATTTATGACAATATTAATTTAATACTTTATTTTGAATATGCAATTGATTTTTAATCAATAAAGACATGTTAAATTAATTTATCAATAAAAATTAAATGTTATACGAACGTGTATAGTTTTTATTTTTTTTTAATAAATTAACAAATATTAATTTATAAAAATTTCTATTTGTTCAACTAAAATTAACATATTGTCAATTGTGACAATGCTCAACAAACAAAGGTATCAGAGGACGATGTTCTTCAAGAAGTCGACGAAGAAATTGATATGCAGTTTGATAATATTATTGAAGAAATATGATAATTAAAATTATGAAATGTAAAAAATTTAATTTAAGTTTAATAAAATGTTATTTACATAAACTAATTTTATTATTTAAAATTTTTGCATTAAATATTTTTTATATTCACAAAAAAGCAATTTTTAACAAAAAGTAATTATAATTTGTTTAATATACAGGGCTGGAAAATCCGCATGGTGCATCTGCCTTTACATGAGAGTGACAAAGCAAAAGAACAAGGATGGCTATAGTGAAGACGTTTCATAATCTGAATAGTCACCGCGCGTTTTGGGTTAGAACTATTCAGATTATGAAACGTCTTCAATGTAACCATCCTTGTCTATCGCACGGATTTCTATGACTTCTTTATCGCTCTTACGTAACGGCCGATGAACCATGAAGACTTTCCGAACCTGTATATAAAACCATATAACTTTTATTTTTATTGATAAATGAATTTAACATACATCTTTATTAAATAAAAATGAATTACGTACTCAAAAATAAGTATTAAAACAATATTGTCATAAATTTGGTAAAAACCAGAAAAAAGATAAAGTTTGAACAACCATAACTCAGTCTATTTTCATCAAAAAAACTTCCATAACCCATCATTTTGTAGAAAATTTTATATACTTTTTTTTCTATGATGCAATGCCTATACCTATCTCTGCTCAGAAAAAAGTTATTAGCATAAAAGTAAAAAAAAAACAAAAAATTGATTTTTTTGCATTTTTTTGTTAAATTGTTTTTAATATATTCTGCAGTAAATAAATTTTTTAAATTTTTTAAATAAGCTATTTCGATAGGAAATCTCATTATCTAAAAAATTTTTCCAATGCAATACCCTCAAATTTTGCTTCGTTTTCAAGATATACTCAAAAAACCTTAAGGGTTGCATTTTCACCCCTATCTCCAATTTCCACCCTCTAATTTAATAGCACTCCGTGGTTTTTTCATTCTAAATAACCATTTGAACGATTCATGTAATAAAAACCCATCAACGTTGTAGTTCCATACCATATGACAGAATCAATAGCCTATAAAGGAATTACTAAATACGAAATTAGAAAAATTTGTGGCTTTTTAAAAAATTTTATATTGAAATGTCTAAACTGATAGCCACAGTAGAAAATTTAAATTCAAATTTCTGAGGGATTTTTAGCGATATGTCATAAGAAGTATGCCTTTGTTATGAAAAATAAGGTGGTGTTTTGAAAACACTGCTTTCTGCCAATAAAGAAAACAAAATACAGTTTAAGGTATCTTTAGCGAACTTTACTTGCGAGTTTACTTGTTAGACAAAAACTAAACTTATAGCTTATTCCGAGGGTTATTCATATTTGACTAAGCCAAAAACTCACCTAGGTATGTCAAGTTTGATTAAAATATCTTATAGTGGCAGTTGTGATAAAGAAAATAAAATAAAAAAATTTTTTTAAGAAATTTGTCACTAATGTTGAAAAGTTTCCTGTACTGGTTGACATATCGTTAGAATAGGCTTCTTGAGGTTTCGAGGGATATATCCCTTCTTCAGAAGAAACTCTGAGACTGACCAGTATTTATACTTGCTACATACATTGACTTGTATTGTCTGGTGTAAGATTTGAGTTCACTGGCCTGTGATATTCCCTGTTCTTATTTTTATTTTCCAGAACTTCTATTCTTTCTCTGTAGAGTCATGGCCAAAATCTTTTTTATTCATTGAGTTATGTGAAACAAATATTTTTTTCATATTTTTGAACTTTTCTTGATGTTGTTACGAAAAACTAAAAAGTTTTTGTTCACATTATTGAGATGTTCATGAGAATGTTTAATATCGAAGCATGTTCACATTATCATAAACCTTCAGTAATTTTTTTGAACTTAAGTGTAGGAATGTACAAAAATTATAATGTACCTTGTAGTTATATAAAATAAATAATAATATAACAAACATTTTCTTATGCATTGTTGTTCCTTTATTAGGCCTAAGGGAGATGTACTTGAGGTTCGTAGAAGATACAATAATCTCTATATTCCTTCAGACTTCTTTTATACCAGCATCCGTTGGGTAGATGCATTTCCACCAGATAAACAATTTACCTTAAATAAACCTTGTTCTTTTCATATAATGAGTAAGGAAATTGATGCTGCTACTGAGAATAATGCAATTCTTGAACCACCGGATGCAGACTATATATTTTCAGCAAAGGTAAGTACCTACTAAGAATTTGTGTTTTAAAATGATTAAAAAATGTTATTATAGATGTGTGTACAATATTGACTTGTTCAAATATATCAGATTTCTGTTTTGTTACAATATACAGGCACCGTTACTTAAAACTCCCCGAGTCTGCATCTCTTATAATTTTGAAGATTTTGTTGTAGGTACCTAATTGAATATTGTATCGAATAAAAAAAAACAAGTGATTAAAAGGAAATGGGGGCTGTTGCAAATAAATTTTTCCGGATGAATTTTTTCTTTAGCGACTATATATAATAGTTGTCACAAAATAGGTAAAATCTGAGGACACTTTTTTACAAGTTTTTTTCGAGGAATTTCACTGTATATTCAGATCTTCATTGTGATGTTTCCGAGAAACCATCATCAACTTTCTTTTTTGTTATGTGGACCATATTGAATTTTAAGCTGAGCATATAGAGTATTTTTTTGGCTTTTCAATGATATAAGTAGGAAAAAAATTTCAAAAACAACCTCACAAATCAATATTTTAATATTTTTAATACATCTGACAACACCGCATTTTTTCGAAACTATTATAGAATAGTTTCAAATTTTTGTAAAAGCTCATTATTAATGATTTTAAAATCGGCAAAATGGCTTTGCGTTATTCCAATGAAAAAAAAAATTATTGCCCGTTATTATATCTTTCGTAGTTCTTAGCATGCAGCTTTTCAAAACTTCCATACATTCTCAAATTTGTTATACATTTATAAAAATACATTTATTTGGTGGTTGTCTTTCGGGATAATTTCCAATATAACTTTTTAATGTCACAGTTGCTTTTTTATTATTTTTAATAAAGCACTCCAACATCCACAACTCCTTATTCATTGGAATAACGCAACGCCATAACATTAATAATACCTAAGCTTTTACAAAAATTTTAGATTATATAATAGTTTCAAAAAATTATACGGTGTTGCCAGATTTATTAAAAAAATTAAAACATTGATTTTTGAGGCTGTATTTGAAATTTTTTTTTACTCATAATGCATCATTGAAAAGCCAAAAAAATGCTTTATTTGCTCAGCTTAAAATTCAATATAGCGCCCATAAAAAAAAAAGAAAATTGTTGATGGTTTCTAGCAACCGAAACATCGCAATGAAATTCTAAATGTACAGTGATATTACTCGAAAAAACTGGCTGTGAAAAAATATTTTCAGATTCTTCTAAATAAAAAAGTTAAGACGATTTCGAAAATGTCACATTTAATTTTTTTCAAAATAACTCAAAAACCTGAAGAGCTAGGACCGGTCTGCAGGCACAATTAAGCTACTAACAGAACTGTCTAAAACTTTCTCCATTTAACCATATTCCTATCTTTTATAGTTTCCCATATACCATCATCATGCTTCACCAAAATGGTCCACACAGTAGAAGTCGATAGGTATTATTGCTACATAGGGTCTTTAAAATTAAATTGGAATGATATATGACAGCTACTTCAGAAACTATTAGATATGTGAGATAGTTAAATTGGAGTAAAATTACCTAATTTGGTGTGTATTCACTTCTCAAAGAGATATCGAAAATATCTTTGTTAGTTTTTTAAATTTTTCGAGAAATGTGATCTTTCAGAACACATTTTTCATATCATTTTTGCTCCTCTATTTGAATGTGGAATAAGATTTTTATTGAAACATTTTGTCTTACGGCAATTATCAGTTTTTTTATAAAAAATATAGTCATATTAATATTTTCATGGCATTCTTATTCTTTATTTTCTTCAAGTACAATAACATTCAATACTGTTTAGTGACATTTCAGATTCAGACCTAAGGTATTTAGAGACAACTTACATTAGTATAAAACTTAACAAAGATATATTGGAACGACTTGATATTTTTTCCTTAACTTTTATTGCCTTTATTCTACTATTCTATTCTATACAAATTTTATTTATTAAGATTTATTAACATACAAACAATTTTCTCAGGGATAGATCTTACTTTGGAAATTTAGGAAAACTAAAATTAAAAAAAACTCAAAAACTAACATATATAGGGTGTCCCGTTCATGTTTCAAAATAACTTGTGTGCAAGTTCCTCATGGGAAAATAATGGAGGTAGTTCATGTAACGTTTTTTTCTTAGACTTCCTGTTTTCGAGATACAGTGTGTTGAAGTTGTTAGTTCCCAAATGGTTTTCCTTAATTATCTTTAAATCGGCTAAAGATAAAAATGTCAAAATTTCAGCTGTGCGTTAAGAATAATGTGCAAACGGTTTCTTTCTGAAAAACAGTGTTGTCAATACAGGTAATTGCAGGGATACAATCGAAAAAAAAATATGTTAAAAGTCAAAATTTGTTACATTGCTAAACAGTTTAGTAAACTCTGAAGCATACTACAAATAAATTGTATACTTGTCGAAATTTGGTAGCATGTACCATTTTCGAGAAAAATGAAGTTGTATTTTTTGCTCACATAAAATGGCACAAGTACATGTACAGTACACAAGTAACAGAATATTAAATTGAAAGGATGCTACAATTGAATGGGCTGAAGACATTTAGCTACCAATAGTCTTTGCATCTAAGAATATAATTTTAATTTCTTACATATCACATAAAATAGTTAACTTGTAAAAAAATTATTAACTTAAAGAAATAAAAAAATTAAAATTTATTCTAAATTTAAGCTTGTTGTAAAGTAACATTTAAAAAAGTAAATCGAAATAAACAAAACAAAAACATTATGGTAATTAATTATCTATTAATAATTAATTTTAGATTTTGTAAACTACTACACAACCACCAAATAAACAGTTGTTGAATGGACTGAATTGTTGATGGACATGAATACTTAAAAAAAGTGATAAGAATAGAAAAATATAAGGAAACAAACTCGGAGACAGACAGAACAAAATATCTGCACAATTAAATAAGTGAGCAAATCTCAAAATACTACATTAGATGCTGAAATTGCCCCCTATCTGCTTCTATTCAACTTAATTTTTCTCGAAAATGGTACATGCTACCGAATTTCGACAAGTATACCTTTTTTTTTGTAGTATGCTTTAGAGTTTACAAAACCATTTAGAAATGTAACAAATTTTGACTTAACATTTTTTTTTTTTTGATTGTACCCCTCCAATTACCTGTATCGGCGACACTGCTTTTCAGAAAGAAACCGTTTGCACATTATTCTTAACGCACAGTTGATGTATACTCGTGTACAAATTTTAACATTTTTATCTTTAGCCGATTTAAAGATAATTCAGGAAAACCATTTGGGAACTAACAACTTCAACACACTGTATCTCGAAAACAGGACGTCTAAGAAAAAAACTTTACATGAACTACCCCTATTATTTTTCCATGAGGAACTTGCACACAAGTTTTTTTGAAACATGAACGGGACACCCTGTGTATTTGATGAAAAATAATATTGACAGTCCGAACAGTAATGTCATTGAACTAAAATATTAAGGAATATAAAGCCACAAAAATATTGTTTGAATTTAAAAAAATTAAACAAAAACAAAATGTAATAAAATCTAATTTCATTTTTGGATAGAGGAACAAAATGAAGTGTTTCTCTATCTTGGTTCAAAAAATTATAAATCAGAATTTGAAAATATTACATTTTTAAATAAATCTAAGAAAGATATTTTAGATTTCTACTCCAGAAATTAATACATTCCAAAGTAGGCAATTTTGTTTGAATTTATTTGTCTGTTCTATCACAGATAATATAGCTTATCGCCACAGACTGCGTGTTAAATGCTGGAAATTGGCAACCCGAAATCCAGCTATAAAATTTAGCGTGATAACTCTCCTACTTGGTAATAGTTGGCAGTTCTAGCGGTGGCTTTGTTGCCAAATAATAACTCAAATAAATTTAATGCATTCGATTATGCAGTTAAAGAGATATGGAACTTATCTTTTGCTTGGAAATCACATTTGTGAATGCTAAATGAAATAAATCAAGTTAGAATTGAAACTATGAATTTACCAAATTAATTATTTATTTTATAACACCTTGAAATGGAAGAATTCAAAAACTTGAAATTCACGTTTATAGATTTGTGCGTCAACTTCCAATTTGGTACGATATTAACACCTAAGTATGTTTAAAAAATTGCATTATACAGGTTGTGTATCCTTAGATGTATCCTGCTCTCTTATTGTTGATTTCTTTAGATTGGTAAAATAATTATTGACACAAGTGTTGCATATTATGGATGACATTGGTAGTGCCCATATTTGTGACACAAGGTGTTCAAAAAAATTAACACAATGTAATATTGCTGGAACCTCAAGGAGTAGTTGAATACGAAATTTATTAAAAAAAAAACAACATATCATCAATCAATGATCCTTGACAGAGATAAGATAATGTGTTCGCTACTGCTGTTGCAATTTTTGCAAACTTTTTTGTTTTTCGACATACGGACTTCGGACCTTTTCCATTCAACGCAGAACGGACAATCAGAACCAGGGATGTGGGGAGATTTTAAAAATTATTTTTTTCGATTCAAAGCACCGTTTCCGAGTTATCAGACCTTTTTTTTACTGTATCACCTGACACACCTTTTGTTTCCGAAATTTATTTCAATATATGGACTTCGGACCTTTTGCATTCAACGCAGGAGGGACATACAGAACCAAGGCTGTGGGGAGATTTTATCAATTACTTTTTCGATTCAACGCACCGTTTCCGAGTTAAAAACACTTTTTATTCTATGATGTCACACACCGTTGGTCCCGATTTTTTTTTTCGACATGCGGACTTCTGACATTTTTCACTCGATCACCAATCAGAACCATGGGAGATTTTTTGATATTTCGAGTTATTTCCGAGGTACAAGCAAATACTGTTTTTTTTCTTTCATATACTGTAACACCCTCTGTGTCACCCACCAAATCCTCTACTCAGAACCAAGGGGAAATTTGTTTATATTTCCAGCCATTTCCGAGCAAAAACCGTTTTATTTTCTCATACATTGTGACATCATAGCTCGCTAACGAAGGCTAAAAAGACCACGCGTTCTACCCCATGCTCCCTTCCTAGGTGTCCTGAAGATGCTGGAGAAGTCCCAGAGGCTCCTGAAGACAGCAGAGGGAGAGGCAGAGAGAGAAAAGCCCTCTATGAGGACAAAGTCACTCTATCTCTCTATCTCTATCGCACACTATAACTCTTATCTCTCTCGCACACAATCAGACAAAAACGACAGAAACTAACCTTCCTTTAAAAATACATGGGATTTATCATTATCAGAATAATCCATTTTAATTTAAAAAATTTAAAAGAATAAAATGGGTTATTCTGATGACGAAAAATAAAACATAATTAAACTGTATTATTCAAATAACAATAATGTGCAAAAGTTCTTCAGGAATATCGGTAAATTTATTTGGGGGACGAATCCCGTCAACAAACACTAAAAAATATTATTAGTAACCTTAGGTGGCCAGAAAACAGCCCCGATCTCAGTCCTTTCGACATATTTTTGTGAGGACACTTCAACAAAATATATTACTAAAGACCTCGAAATTTACAAGTATTGAAAGAAAAAATACACGAAATGTTTGATAATTCTGAATTTGTTTTTAAAGCAATAAATAGTAAATTAAAGCATATTTTCAACTGTATCCCAATTACTTGTTGTAAAAATTGTGGGTATTTTAATATTATTTCGTTTTTAGGTATTTTCCTTATGTTGTTGTAAAGGTTAGTTATAAAAATCGTTGTTTGTTAATTTTTTTAATGATTTTTTTACTTTAAACATATATTTTGTGCCAGCAAATTTTGATGTTAAAAGAAGTAAAGGAAAATTCATACATTTTTATAGTAAGTATGTAAGTATTTTAAAGTTTTTTCTACCTTTACAAATACAAAAAAAACACTGTACTTACATTCCGCAACATACTAATAACCCACCTTGTATATTAAATAATTTATCATCATCAAATATTAAAAAAAATATATTACAAGCTGTTTAAAATATTATTATGAATTTTGTTTATTTGGAAATATATTTTCTGCAGTATTTCAATACCAAAAAATGAAAATAGTAGCTAATTAACGAAATTATGATTAAATAAGTTAATTGTGACACCGCTGCAGAATATCATATGAAACTACATATTTATTCGTTGACTCTTTAAAAACATTTTTATCAATACCTACATCATACATTTAAGTATATACAGTAATGCAAAGAACAGATATTGATAAAATGTGTACAAAATAAATTCGTAAGTACACCTGGCAACATTACCAAAGTTTTGTTTATATGTTGCTGGTATACACGGAATGCGGGCCGATTTGATTCTTCCTAAAATTTTGCTGGTGGTGTACTCTATCGGCAATTCGGTGATTTAAAATTGCTGGCCTATTCCAGTAGCGGTCTGTGGCAATAGCTATTTTGTCTGTGGTTCTATCTTTATAGTTTGTTGTAATATCTTGTTTATTTAAGTGAAGTATTTAATTTAATTCTTGGGGATTTTTTAGTGACAAACTCTAGTAAAAAATTTTAGAGGTTATTTTAGTAATAAAAATAATGATACAAGATACAAATTCCTCTGATGTTTTTTCCATAACATTATATTAACAGAATTGTTAGATAACTTGAAAGAATTTTAAAAAAAAATTAATACCATAACTTTTTTGTTTATTAAAGAACTCTAGAATATCAGTGATTTTTGCTCTGCTTAACAGAAAGAAATTCTTTTAATGTTGACATTCCAAAATATTCTCGTAGGAGCTTAAATTATTTGCTCATAGTTTACAGATATCTTGTACAGAAAAAAAGAATAAAAATACTATACCAAATACATACTGAAGTTAGTGAAAAAAGTAAGCACTGAAAATTGCTTTGTTAGGACAGTAGAACCTCGATAATCCTACAAACATTTTCCTTTTTAATGCTAATGTTACCAGTGTACTAAACATGTTTAGATACAGCACATAGCACAGAGAAAACTGCTACGAGAGTCGTATGCATATTTGTCTCCTTCAATGTCTACCGAATCCCATACAACACTTATCTCGCAGCCAACTTGTGCCCATCTCGCTAATGTGTGTCCAAACTAATACATTTTTTTTATGTTTAGAAATTGCTAGAAACCGTCATATTTTTATTTACAGGTAATGCTAATGAGTGTGCCTGGAATGGAAGAATTTTATCAAAAATGTTGTCCTATGGCTGAAGATAAAGACAGACGTGATAGGGACAGCGAAGACAGAGATTTTGTTCATCCAACCAGATTAATCAACTTCTTAGTAGGGTTAAGAGGCAAGAATGAAACCATGGCAATTGGTGGACCCTGGAGTCCATCGTTAGATGGAGAACATCCAGATAAAGATCCCTCAGTCCTAATCAAAACAGCCATTCGAACTTGCAAAGCATTAACAGGAATCGATTTATCCAATTGCACTCAATGGTAAGTAATCCTAATAAATTCAAAAGTTTTATGGTAGAAGAAACTTTCCACTCTGTAGATGTAACCAATAAACTGAGATATAACTGATTTTGATCCTTAATCCTTGAATCATTTACATTTATGGTCATAAATAGATTTATCATAGACATACATCTATTTAAATCAGCAGCAGTCATATTTTTTTATATCAGCGACAGATATTTGCCTTTGCCAATGCTTAAAAATTTGTGACATCACTATAAAATATATTTTAATTACACGTTACATTTTGAAAAACAATTGCTGATAACATGGAGAATTTCTCCTAATTAACGTATTTGTGATATATTAAGTGATTTATGTTATAAATATCTTTTGAAGACATTTTGGTATTAAAAAGAACATAAATAAGAAAACCCTGTACTTAAATATTTTTAAATATGAAACAGATAAGATATTCAGATGATATTTGGAATATTATGATGTAACTTTTTTAAATATAAACAGCTCACTTATTTAAAGATAGCAAATTTTTAAGGGGAAAATATTGAATATATATTTTTATCAAAGTAGCAAAATGTTTATATTTAATTTATTTTCCCTAAAATATCCTTAAGGAGGTTTATCGGGTACCTCTAAAGTCAAATGAGAGTTTCTGTAGATTCGCTAGTGATTAATGTAGTAAGCCTTTAGATTTGGCAACATTGTAGTGATGGGAAATTCCGTTTATTTTCGCAACCCGGGTCATCCAGGTCAATTATGAAAATGATCCGTTCATGAAGACCCGTTCATATGAACGATAACAAAATAGTATCAAATCCTATCTGTATCATTCGGTATCAGTCGGTCCCTACGCGATAGACTGCCTCTTTTTGTCACGGTTTGCGGCTTGCGGCGGCTAATATCTTCCTACACCTGCACATGCACTGTCAACATGTGATAGATTTATAGCCATATATTTATATTTGTATTTTTTTAAAGAAACAAATACATTATTTAATTCCAGACACTTTTTATAAATGTAAATCATGTCAGAAAATGTATCGTTAATGCTTATGCAAAAAAATAATACAGATATTATGAGGAGCCCTTAAAAGCGCCTAAAATAAATCTCAAATTTAAAACAATTTTTATTTAGTTTAGTTTTATAACAGCAGTTCTTGAGGAAATTTTGCAGTTGTATTATATTCCACTGTTGGTTAAAATTTAAGAAATGTCTGAAAAAAAAGGAGTAGAGTATGGATTTTTTTTACTAAACGGTGTTGGTGATTAGGCAAAATGCAACTTACAAATAAGGGTATATTTTCAAGTAATTTCTCAATTTCTTTCCTGATGTTACCTCTACTTCCCACTTGATAAATTTCAATAATTAATAATACCTAGTTATGGCAACAAGTATTAAATTTCTATACACTGTTGTATAGAGAATTTTAAACTAAATACCTAATAAATAACTTTAAAAGGTATGAGTTAGGTACTATTAAAATAAAAATAGTATCAGGGTTATATTTGTATGTTACATTCTAAAATTTAATTCAAAATAATTTAATCTTATGTAACATGAAAATTAAATTAGACATCTATTGAGTTGTTACGAAAATTTGTGAAAATGAACATCAAGATTTAGAACTATGTTCCTAATATTAATTGTTTATATATATATATATATATATATCTATTATTATTAAAATAAGAATTGCAGTTATTTACCACTTTTCTAGACGAATAATATAATTACTTTTTATAATAGTCATCTGAATGCAGTCAGTCTCACAGTCAATGTTTTTACAATTATTTTCAAAACATTTTAGTTAGTTCGAGGTACATGAAAATATATATATATGTATGTAATTTGCTTTTCTTCTGACTTTGAAACAAAACGATAATTCATAATCGAGTCAAGTATCAAAATGTTCTGCTTTTCGTAACTAGTTATGAAAAGTTTGGATTTTATTTACATGAATTAATACTTTTAATGACTTAATTATATGAAAAATAAAAACTCAAATTACTCTTAATAAGTTTTTACTAATTATTTCTCACTTGTTACATAGGTAGCTATTGTGGAAGTTTAGAAATATGCTTATTTATTCCAATAAATTATTTATTGCAATAGATTACCTAAATATGATAAAAATATATAAAGAATGTAACAGCGGCTTTGCGATAGGGCTGGTATCAAAACGGATTAAGACAATAACATTTTTTTTTCCTAAAATGATTCCTAAGAGATTTATGGTCTTGGTTTTAAGACTTCCACAACTAGTGCTGTTGTTTAAAATACCATCGTTTTTCGGGTTGTAATGCCATAGCCATGTACCTGGTCACCGCCAGTTATAAACTTACATTGCACTTCCTTAGCCTTAACTAGGAATCTTTGACCTGAAGCTGATGACAATGATGTATGGCGAAACGTTTGGAAGCACTGCATGTGATCAATTACAGAGGCCACTATGGGACATTTCAGAGGACCACCATTGTATGAGGAGCAGTTCTATCATATAGCAGGTCTACACCCGAGAGCGACAAGAGCAGGTTAAAATTTTTAGCTGAAGCGAAGGAAGTGCAAGACCAGAAACAGTTGCCACGGCATTACAATCTGAAAAACCATAGTCTCTGATTGATCCGTTTTTAAAAATTAGTAGAGGAACATAGCTTCTTTTTCAATTATTTAAGAGTTATTCATCATAAAAACTTCAAATTTTCAAATTTGGCACAGAGCTGAAGCCTCATAGTAGCAATCTCGTACTTTCATGTACATAGAAATTTGAATCTTATTTGAGCTGCTTCATTTATTAAAATCTACATAAGAAGATTCTTTTCGAGATCAAATTACTTTTTTGACAGTTGAAACCTGTCTCTTTCTTCAGTTTTTCGCTTATATCTCCGAAAATAAGCCTCTAATCGACATGAGGCATACTCATCGATTTTCTTCCTGAGGAAATTTGCTACAAAGATAGGCTTTTGCGAAAGCTCGCAAAATTTTTTTTACATTGCAAAATTAGCAGTGAAAAAAAAATTGCAAAATTTTCAGAATTAAATAAAAAGAACAAATTGTACTGAAATTGAATGAAACTACAGGAAAAGATAACCGTTGGGGGTGCTCAACAAATACCCGCAATTTGACCCCCAATTTCAAAATGGCGGCCTATTGCAAAATTGTAAAGTCGAAAACGCGAGCGCGTATATCTTCTGTCCAGGCCAAGATATCGAAATTCGGAAAAGGATCGAAAGGTAATTACATTATTTCGCGTCTGTGTAAATTTTTAAGATGCAAAATAAAAAAGTTATTAACAAAAAACCAAAAAAAAAACATAAATAGGGTCTTTTCCTCGGCGATTTTTTAATAGCGCTTAGCCGCGCGGATCACGCTGTCATTAACAAACATTTACTTGGTCACTTCGTGGTCAAATCCATTAAAAAAAAATTCTGCGTATAAAGGAAGTCTTCTATTTTACGAGATCAAGTTTATTACAAAATATTAAATAGAACAGCCAAAATGCCTTTTAAAGAAAAAAAAATATCTCGGCTCCTATTGGTCGTATCGAGACGCTTTTTTTTTCTTAATTCATGTTTTTTAAGCACTATTTGATGCAATTGGTTTGAAATCTGCATATTAAAAAAATTGCTGAGATAAGGAATTTTTTTTTGGTTTTTTGTTAATAACTTATTTTGCAACTCAAAAATTTGAAATTTACACAGACGCGGGACAATGTAATTATAGTTACAATTTCGACTTTATAATTTTGCAATAGGCCGCCATTTTGAAATTGGGAGTCCCAATTGCGGGTATTTGTTGAGCACCCCAACGGTTATCTTTTCCTGTAATTTCATTCAATTTCAGTACAATTTGTTCTTTTTATTTAATTCTGAAAATTTTGCAATTTTTTTTTCACTGCTAATTTTGCAATGTAAAAAAATTTTTGTGCGCTTTCGTAAAAGCCTATCTTTGTAGCAAATTTCCTTAGGAAGAAAATCGATGAGTAATGCCTTATGTCGATTAGAGGCTTATTTTCGGAGATATAAGCGAAACACTGAAAAAAGAGCAATCATTATTTTTTCTTTTGTTATAAACAATATGACGCTCGACCTCTACAAATACACCAATTTAGGCTTTTATTTTGGAATAGCATTTTGGAACACTGATACCTTAATTTCAGAATCATGATAACAGAAAATGCAAAAATGTAATAATAGATTCTATGGAGTAGGAAATTTCTCTCATAATTAGTCAATGTTGCTATAGTGTGAAGTGTAAGCTCTTTCTTGATATAGTTCCTATTTTTTCTCTCTAAAGATTGTCTGCAACACTTCAGCTTCTTTCTATTTCCTAGAGGCCATACACAATATGATGAAAATAATTGTAAAATAATGTATGAAATTAAATGACAACAAAAATGTGTAAATTGTAGAAGGTAACCATGGTTATTTAATATAACAAACATTGATATTAGTGAATAAAAATTAAGTAATATTATAACTAGTTCTCAATTTCTTCTCATATTATTGGAGCTATAAAATTTCTAACAATTTTTGTATTACAGGCACAAATACAAAATTGTTAATTATTTATGATCAGTTTACAGAATGAAAAATTGCTAAATGAAAAACTGGTGGGTGGTGAAAACTAAAGTGGTCATATTTAGATAATAATGAGGTGTAGGCAGACTTCTAATGTTTTTTTAGGGAATGATTTATATGCTCATAGAACTTGAAATTTTGAGAAAAATTTGCAAAATTAAATATTAATTTTTAGGTTGTCTTCTCTGATGTCTCGAAAGAGTTGCACAGATATGTTCAAAATATACAGGGTGTTACAAAATTCGCGGACATGGACTGTGGGATCGTATTATGCTAGATAAGGTGATAAAAAAGTGTTTTTATGATTTTTCATTCAGACCAGTATTTTTCGAAATATAGCAGTATCGAATATTCAAAAATAAAAAATATATTTATAAATTTCAATTTTCAATCATTAGATAAACAATTACGACAAATGAGTTACAACAATTGTTCAAAATTTCTACTGTCTGCTGTTAAACATACTTAAGCACATTGTGCTATTGCTCTAATGAAGTTGCTTATCACCTCTGGTGTTATATTTGTTGTATTGATTGAAATAGACGGTTCTGCAATTCATTCAAATTTGCCACTGGTGTTCTGTACACCAACGTTTTTAAGAAATTCCAAAATAAAAAATCATATGGCGTTAGGTCTGGCGAACGAGGTGACCAAGCAACTGGACCGCCTCTGCCAAGCCAATCGCACTGTTTCACCTGCACGATTATTTGAAGCTCCTAGAGCCATCAGCATATCATACTATTCACGATTTGAATAATTGTGGTCTATTATTTTGCAGTTTGTATTGACGGGTACATTTACTGTACTCTAATGATGTCAAAGTATTGATAAATGCTTTCTGAATTGTCATTAATTGTTGTAGAGCTGTCTGTTTCAAACAAAACAACAAATAACGCCGGAGATGGTAGGTACGCAACTCCGTTCGAGCTGTAGCACAATGTTCTGAAGTATGTTTAGCAGCAGCTGGTGGAAATTTTAAACAATTCATTTGTTATAATTGTTTATCAAATGATTGATTTTTCGATATTTAAAACTGCTGTGTCTCGAAAAATATCGATCTGATTGAAAAATGATAGAGACATTTTTTTATGACCTTATCTAGCTTAACACGATCCCAGAGTCCGTGTCCGCGAATTTCGTAACACCCTGTATATTTTTTCATGCTTAGCTGATAGATACATCAGGTTTTCTATAAAATTCAATTTTCAGTTATACCTCTTTAAATAGTCAATCGATACATTGTATTTTTCAAACTCTATAATGGTGCAACTATAATAAGAATTCTGTGAAAATAGTTAATAGGTTACAAAAACAGGGGTCTTAGTTAAATTGTTTATTTCATAAATTTCGTTCATGAATGTTCTCCCAAGTCCCACACTTTATTATTAAAATATGACTACTTTAATTTCATCCAACTGCCACTGATTGTGAATCAAGTTTGTAAATTATCTTTTTCTTTTATCATTACTAAAATTATGGGGTAGGTAAATAAAAGTTTTGGTTCATATTAGACTGAATAACTAATGAATTTATTCATACTTCAACAAATCAACAGTCATTATTGAAAAAGTAATTAACCTTTTTAACTGATCACTTCACTTTTAATTAGTACCTTATATTTCTTGAATTTAAATTAAAGCTACATAAAATTTTTTAACATCCCAAAAACTATTCCTTTAGTATGATGTTGATTTATTACATCAATTTAATTTAGTATTTAATTACGAATATACAGTGTGTTCATGTACTAGGTGAAAAAAGAAAAAAATTGAAGAAAAATAAGTTGCATTATACTCACCAGACTCAATTTAGAGCAAAATTCAAATTTGTGATAACGTTCTGTTGTCCTGGCACAGTTTCTTTATTCACATTTACCAGAGAGAAAGATAGTTGTTCCAGATTTTAAGTTGCAGTTCCTACTGAAACATTTTTTGTTCTATCCATTCATATTTCCATTTCTTGTGTGTAAAGCTTGTGACGATTAGATTTCCTATAGAGGTCTTTAATTCCTTATAAAGAAATATATAGTTGGTAAATGGTTTTGCATTTAAGGTATCGCCTGATAATTAAAAATTATTATTCATCTTTAAATTTATTGTTATCAAGAGATAAGAATTGACTTTCAGTACTGTACGTGCCTAATTTACGATACTTATATTTCTATTAATAGTATATTTTTTTAATAATTCAGGAAATGAGAAGAAAAATCAGTATAAGGGGTTAAAAATATTTTAAATAGATATTAAATAGTAAAGATAGAAGACATAGGTTGGAGAGTCTAGGAGACTTGTGTAAGATATGTGTGATTAGATTGTGTTTGGGTTAGGATATTATGACCTGCTCACACATTGTGTTCCGTTAGGTACCGTTTTGTGGAGCTGTATTACCGGCGCAGCGAGTCAACCCACAAGGGGAAGGCTGTACCTGCACGTGTTGAGACAGTGGTGCTCTTTCTGCCAGATGTATGGAGTTGCTTGCCTACCCGACTGGAGTGGGACAACCTACACCAGACCTACAGGAAGCAGTTGGAACGTATCTTGAAAGTCGAGCAGGAGGGCAACGATGATGCATCAACGGCTGATGAAAAGGCACCTCTCTTTATAAATCTATGTATAAATAGGCTAGGTATACGCTGTGCTGTGGCTGGGCCAAACTGCATTCGCCACCGACAAAATTTTGATGGAATGGCCTAACCTCACCTGGCTCTTGTGGTGACTGAATCTGTCTGAATCTATATTGAATGAGTGTTAGCGTGAAAGATGAATGTAGCTTATTTGCATTACCTCATACTCAAGGAATATTTTTTCCCTTAGGAAGAAGAAGTACCTTCTGATAAATTGGAACCTACTCACTATTCACAGCTAGATCCTAAGACTATGGTTGTTGGGGCTTTAAGGAATGAACTGAAAGCGAGAAATATTAGTTGTAAGGGATTGAAGTCACAGCTCATCGCTAGACTTTCAAAGGCATTGAAAGCAGAAGCGGAGAAAAATGACGATAATAATAAAGATAAGGAAGAATCAGAATCGGAGAATGTACAGGATGACAAGAAAAGTGAAGTAAGTTATTAATTTTTCAGTTTTTTTTTAGGAAAAAATTAAAAGAATTATACGAGGGTTGCGTTCTGTATGTTCTGTAAATAGAGAACAAAAAAAGAAATTAATCATTGTTTTTCAAAATATTCTCCATGAAGATCAGCACATTTGCATACGCTTGAACAATTTTTCAAAGCACTCCAAAATATGCATTTCGAATGCATCAACCTCTTCTTCAGGCATCTTAAAATGTTGACCTCGTAATTTATTTCTGATGTATGGCAAAAAAAATCATTGGATGCCAAATTACGGCTACAATTAAATTCCATATACGCCCGATATACGGTGGTTTTTAATGGTGCTTCATTGCCAAAAGTCGAATTAAGTTCATCAATGCACTGTGTAGAGATAATCCATGTTGAAAGTTGTAAAAAATAATTGCACTGAAATGTTTACAACTTAATTTCATTTTTGGCCAAGACAAATTTTTCAAGTAACTGTAAACAACACAAATAGCGCCTGTACGTCAAAACGTTCTCCAGTAAGTATACTGACAAAAAGTCGAAATTTACGATAGGGATGTCAGTTGTCAGATTCCAGCACCAGTTTCGCCCATTCCCGAAATATAAAAGGCAACTCTCATATTAGATAAGATATAAATTAAAAGTAAACTTTATTACAGATTAAAATAACTTTAACACTCCATATCTTGAAAACAAAACACAAAATGACTTCTAATTTTTTGATGTGCTATTACTCCTAGGATACATTGTACATTATTCTGAAAAAAATCTACTACTTTATTGACAGATGTCACAAATTAACGAAAGAGTTAATTTAACCCTTTCGCTGCGCAATACGTCTGAACGTAGCTACCGCGCCGTGCGCAATTGTTTATCGCGTGCGAATATATACGTCTGGAGCAGTTAGACCACTTATAGTTTTACATTATGTTGTGTTAAATTACGATATACGATAAATTTTACGATTTTATTTTGAATAAAATACAGTATATGTACTAAATAGAAACTGAAAGAAACATGAACAATCTTGGTACTATTACCAGTACCTCTTTCCATAAAAATATTTGTCACGCCTTACCAATTGCAATAACCGAGTCACTATGCGCACGGTTGCGAATATATACGGTTTGAGCAGCCTGATCCAATTTAACTATTCATGCGAATTTATCCGTCTGGAGCAGTTTGAGCCCTATAAATTTTTAGCGAATATATACGTCTGGAGCAGTGAAAGGGTTAAACAAAACCTGGAAATGCTTTGTTTTCTTGCTTGCTTAATATTCTTGCTGCACTATACTAAAATATGCCCTTTTGCAGATAAATAAACTAATGCAAAAAATTAAAGGGTCTAAAGAATTTCTGAAATTTTTCCGTGATTCTTGTCAGATTATATTTAGGTGAAAAATGATCATATTAGGAATTAAAAAAAAAACATTTTGAAGCTCTAAGATTCTAGTTTTTAAATCTTTCGGTCGAAATTTTTTAGGAGATTATCGTGCAATTCTAAGAAATAGCGGACTTAGAAAATTTTTTTTCAGCTAAGCCATTGCATGGACCAGATAACTGGTTTATTCAGCTTTAATTTCCTTTTTTATTAAATTTCGACACAACCATTTTTCATTGAAATATCGGGAGTTTTAATAGAAAAGGATCCTTTTGTCTTCAATCATCGATATCTCGGCGATAAATGATCGTACAGAGAACTGAAAGGGCAGTTTCGAAATCTGGATAAATTTCCTATAACATGCTGCCACAACTTTTCGCAAACAATATTTTTTTTTCATCTTTTACACAAATTTAAAAAACCAGGAGAAAAGGGTAATTTATGGTTTTTTAGAAAATTGACGGCTAAATTAGAAATATTGATGAAATGACTAATGTTAAGCATGACTTTTACAGTTCGATATACCCAGAAGAACCCTATGAAGTTTTTTTCTTTGCTTCAAACAATCAAACTTTTGAAAAAAATTAAAGGGCCAAGTTTTTTGAGCTTAGACACTTCATAATCATGATTAAAATGGAATGAAACTTCACAGGGTTCTTCTGGCTATATCGAACTGTAAAAGTCATTAGTTATTTCGTTAATATTTCTAATTTAGCCGTCAATTTTCTAAAAAACCATAAATTACTCGTTTCCTGTTTTTTAAAATTTGTGTAAAAGATGAAAAAAAAAAAAAATTCCGAAAAGTTGTGACAGCGTGGAAATTTATTCCAGTTTTCGAAACTGCCCTTCGATTCTCTGTATGACCATTTGTCGCATATATATCGATGATTGAAAACAAAAGGTTTTTTTCTGTACAGGTTAGTCAGCACTTACCCGTTGCCAAAAGGTTTAAAGGGTGTTACCATTTGGTTAGACGTAATAAATAGGGAAGGCAAATACAAATAATTGAATTTCAGGATTATTTTGGGACTTTTGGGGACTTTTCAGTATGAATCCTGTTTTTTTCAAAATATGTAAATTGTCCAACTTGCGATTGGATTATGAAATGTCTTGAAATTTTGAGAAATAAGACATTTTGTCATTAAAAGTAAAGTTAAACTGTATAAATTTTACAGATAGAAGAAAAGAAATTGAACGAAAGAGAAAAAGCTCTACTAGAAAAACGTTTCACATTACCTGAACAACAACACATATTGGTGCATCCTTCGAAAACTGCTAAATCTGGAAAATTTGATTGTACCACAATGTCCTTGTCACTCTTGTTAGACTACAGGCCGGAAGACACTAAAGAGCATTCCTTTGAGGTTTCATTATTTGCAGAACTTTTTAATGAGATGTTAATGAGAGATTTTGGCTTTAATATATTCAGAGCTTTACATGAGTTACCAGAAAGAGTTAAGGAAAAAGATGACAAGAAAAAGAAAGACGACGATAAGAAAAATGACGAAAAGAAAAAGGAAGACGACAGAAAAAAGGATGACGAAAAGAAAAAGGATGATGATAAGAAGAAAGATGACGACAAGAAAAAAGATGAAGAAAAGAAGAAAAATTCCGAAAAGAAAAAAGATGAAGAGAAAAAGGATGAAACTGAAAAATTGCACGAGGAAGATAAGAAACTTGAGGAGTCTGATGATAAAAAAGAGGATGACAAGAAAAAGGATATGAAAAAGGAAGAGAAAAAGTCTGATGAAAGTGAAGATGAGGATGAGGGTGATGAAGATGAAGAGAAAGAGAAGAAAAAGGATAAAGAGAAAAAGAAAAAAGAACGAGTAAAATTATACACTAAAGATAAACACTTGCTACTATCTTTTGTATATTTTGACCAGACTCACTGTGGTTATATCTTTGATAAAGATATAGAGGATTTGCTTTACACCTTAGGCTTAAATTTGTCTAGAGCACAAGTCAGGAAACTTGTAAGCAAAGTGGTGACAAGAGATTCTCTGCATTATAGAAAACTTACGGATAAACCTCGCGACGACGATTTCATTGTAATTGATGATTCCGAGAGGGATGCTAACCTGCACGAATTAGCATTAGGTAATAAACGATTATTACCAATATGTATCGAAGATGAGGCTATCGCTAAGAAAAGAAGATTAAACTGTGATAGCAAAGAATCTACAGGACTGGAAGAAGGTGCGAAACATTTTAATGTGGATTGTGGCGGGACTGAAATTTATACTTATTTTTTCAGGTTTGGTAATGTTCCGAGGATCTTTAGTCGATGTTAGCAAATTAATGTCACAGCTTGAAAGAAGTGAAAGGGCGAGATTAGAAACAGAGGCGAGAATGGTCGAACTGAAAAATGAAAATCAAAAGCTGTCGGAGAAGTATGCTAGGTCCAATTCAAGTATAAAGCATTTAAATTCTGAGCTCAAGGATTATAAGGAGAAACTACGAAATACCGAAGAATCTTTGAGTCGGATTACTGTAAGTTTTTTTACATTACATTATTTCACTGCTAGAGAACAAATTTTATTAGAGTCAAATCACGTCAGGTAGAACCCGCATTTTCCATTTGGTCCTGGAATTTGAGTTCATGTACTTTAATCAAAAGTAGTCGGTACCGAAAATCATACTCTAAACCCGTTTTTCAAAATTTTCATTTTAACAATTTTTTTTGTAATAAACATTTTCGGGACTTTAAGAAATTAATTGTGCAAAAATCATTAGAGATAACTTATTGGAATTTTTGGGATGTATATTTGTATTTTAATAAAAAATAAAGTTAACTTATTTATTATCATATTTTTAATTAGAGATGGGAAAATTCCGAAACTATGAGTTCCCAGAAGTTTTCTGAAATAAAAATTTTTTTTGTTTGTTTTGGTATTGTATTCTACATACCATCAGCTAAAGACTAAATACTTATACAATTTTGTTTATACATATTGGTATAAATATTGGAAAAATATAAATTACATAGCTACACAAAGAAAAGTTGTCTGTAATGCGACATATATTATCCGTAGTATTTTTTTCCTCCTGATCACGCATCTGGTGTCAGAATTAAGCTACCACATCGCAGGATTATGGATCCGAGGTCAATTTTGCAAAATTCAAGATGGCTGACCAAATTTTCAAAAAATAACAGATTTGCGCCAAATTTGGTATATGGGGGTTTTCGGGGTCACTGATGTACTTTAAGAAGGTTAAAACATGATTGGGTACTCAGGTTATAAAGTAAACAAAAATATTACAAATAAATTTCGAAATTCTGACCTCGAATTCGTAATCAGCGACCCCGAAAACCCCCGTATATCAAATTTGACGCGAATGTGTTATTTTGTTTAACTTTGGTCGGCCACCTTGGATCCGCCATCTTGAATATTGCAAAACTGAATCCGTGATCAGCTACCCGAAAAGCCCCGTATACGAAATTTGGCACAAATGTTATTTTTTGAAAATTTGTTCGGCCATCTTTGATCCGCTATCTTGAATTTTGCAAAATTAATCTCGGATCCGTGATCAGCGACCCCGAAACCCCCGTATACCAAATTTGGCACAAATCTGTTATTTTTTGAAAATTCGTGATATCTGACCTTAATTGACCTGTTTTTTTTTTTTGAGTATAGAAAAAGAACCATCAATTTTGACAGCTTATTCACGTTCGGCTGGGTCTTAACCATATAAATGAACATTTGGATATAGAAATAAATTTTGTTTGTATTTTTCACTTTTTCGTGAATTTTTGCTATTTTAGACCTGTTTTTTGAGGTTAGGAAATTCCTGTGATGTGATAGCTCAATTCTGACACCGGATTCGTGATCAAGGGGCAAAAATGCTATGGATAACATATGTCGCATAGAAAGTACAGACAACTTTTTTTGTGTGTGTGGCTGTGTTATTAGTCATCAGTTAGCAAAAATTACATGCTGCGGGTTGCATTGGGTGTACACTATATGGTATACAAAACTCTTAATTATCTTAATTTTTTAACATACAAATAGTAAATACATTAAATAATTATACCAGTTTTAAAATGTAATTGTACTTTGGTTAAACTATCAAAATTTATTTTAAATTTGAAAAGTTAAGGAAGCAATGTATGAGTCTTGTATTACTCTCTATTATGTAAATTGTAGACTTAATAAGGATAAAATAAGTAAATATAATTGTTTTCTGACTTATTTGGATATGGTCTTCCGGTATTCCGAAATAACTGAAAATCCTAAATTAACCAACAATTCTTTGAGGTTATGTTCACAGAAGTTAGAAGTAAAATTGTTGGAAATATTCCCGGAAAGTTTTCCGGAAACTTTCCAGAGAAAATTTCTCAAGCTTCGATTATTTCTTCCCAGAAAATTTCCTATTGCCCATCTCTATTTTTAATTACCTTTTAAATAAACAAATGAAAATTTTAATAACTTCTCAGTCAGATAATAAAATTATTTTTAAGTTATTGTCCATCGTACGTAAAAGTTTAATATGCAGCAAGAATCTCTGCCACTGGAGCATCTAAATTTTAGGAAAAGGCCTCAGATTTTGGACAATGTTTACATAGATACATGTGCCCCATTTTAAATTATTTCACTTACTAGTTTTTAAATTATTTAAAAAAATTAAAAATATTTTTTTAACGAAGTGTCCTAGATAAAAACTATACAAAAGACTCCTTAAAATTCACCGAAGAATACGAGGTTTCATTTTTGGTCACCGTTTGTGAATCAACCTGTATAAAAAAATTATTGCTTTTATTAATAAACAGAGACAGCAAAAGTAAAATGAATAAATAAATATAAATTTTACAGTAACATGTTACCAATGTTTTTGTTGTTTCTTGAAAAGTTTATTAATACCTAATAGTTTTATCATCTTCTGTTTTGCATTCAACTGCATCTAATCCTATAATGATGGAACTGGCGAGTATTTTTGTTCATAACGTGGTTTGTATTTTTGTTTGCGAATCATATTCTTGAGAGCAATAACCAAAATGGATGTTTTTAAAGCAATTTTTGGCCCACTCACACAATGACAGTCATGTGTTTGTCATGGTCACATTCAAGTGTAGCAGGATAAGGTTGTCTTTTCACACTTCCTCCTAAGCCATCACATGCTTCTTTTCCGGGAGATGTGGCGAAAAATTCCGTTCTACATTAACGTTAAAGTCTGCGTGATGGTTAATTAAATTTGCAAAATTATATTTGTTTTTATACTGTGTAGCTGCACCGTCAGAAAAGTATAATTTTTTTTAATAAATATTAAATCACGTTATGAACAAGCATAAAAAATACTCGCAAGTTTCATCATTATAAGACTAGATACAGTAACAATTGAATGCAATATTTTTTCAGAGGATAAAATTATTAATTATTATCAATAAAGTTTTCAAAAAACAAGAGAAACTGTAACGTGTTACTGTAAAATTACATTTATGTATTCATTTTATTGTTGCTGTCTTTGTTTATTAATAAAAGCAATATATTTGTTATAAATATACGAGGACTATCCCAAAAGTTTCCGACCTTCCTTCATATCTTCGCACCTGAGAATTTTAGTGCCCTCTGCCGGGTGCGAGCGTCAACTGTAAAGCTTCATGAACTTCCTAGATGCTGCAGTTTTCATCGGGACGCCTTAGTCCACGTGCAGCGTGCGTTTGTTTACAAAAAGTTTTTTACGTTCATCGCATTTTGCTATTGTAAAAAATGACGGAAAGAACGTAGCAACAAATATGCATTAAATTTTGCTTTAAACTTGAAAAGAATTGTGAGGCGACCATCAAACTGATGAAAACGGAATTTGGGGAGGAGTGTATAAGCAATAAACAAACAAAAGAATGGTATAAGCGGTTCAAAGATGGCCGCACATCTGCTGATAATAACCCACGATCTGGGCGGCCTACGACAACAAAAACACTGGATAATATCAAACATGTGTGACTTGCGATCAATGAAGATCGTCGATTGTGCAAAAACTGCAAATGTGATCTTGGGGTACCTAAAACTTCTGTTTGGAAGATTTTAACTGAAAATTTGCAAATGGTTTGCGTGCGTGTGAAATTAATTCCGAAATTGCTAACGGTATAGCTGAAAAACCTTCGCCGCCTTGAAATCGCTCAGGATAATTTGAAAATGGTCAATAATGATAAAAATCTGCTTAAAAAGATTATAACTGGTGATGAATCGTGGGTTTATCGTTATGATCCTGAAACAAAACGACAGTCTTCGCAGTGGAAGCTGAAGTTAGAACCACGACCGATAAAAGCACGCCAAAGTCGGAGCAATATCAAGTCATTGCTGATTGTTTTTTTTATTATTATGAGGGTGTTGTGCATCACGAATATGCTCCCAAACATCAGACAATCAACAAAGAATATTATCTTGAAGTTATGAAAAGATTGCGTTACGCAATTAGAAGAAAACAGCATCAACTTTGGTCAAGCGGTGACTGGCTTTTTCATCACGATAACGCGCTAGCGCATGCATCAAACCTCGTGCAGCAATATTTGACAAAGCACAAAGTCGTACAGCTTCGTCAGCCTCCGTACAGTCCTGATGTAGCTCCCCGCGACATTTGGCTGTTCCCACGATTAAAAATTTCCCTTAAAGGATAACGATTTGACGACAAAGAAATAGTCGAAATTAATACGACGAACGCTCTAAAGGCAATAACAAAAAATGAGTTCTAGGACTGCTTCCAAAAATGGAAAAGCCGTTGGGAACGTATTCTTCAATCAAATGGGGAGGATGCCACCAACCCAATGATGCAGAATAACACCAGCGGGGAAATATGAAGGAAGGTCGGATACTTTTGGGACAGACCTCGTATTAAAGAAAAAGTTGAAATTTAATAAATTCATGTTTAATTATAAAAAAGTTTTTTTAAATGTTGGCTGACTGGAGATCAAGCCAAGACAATCGCACGCGGCAGTGCGTTGTATACAGACACTGCTCATCACTCTGCGATATAAAAATTTATATTGATTAAACTAATACCGGGCATTGAAATTTTCTTGAGGAAATTAAATATAACTGTATGACGGATGTAATTAAAAAATTAATTTAATGCACATCTAGTTAAAACTCGAACTGACCACGTCATATTAATGAATACAACATTTATAGTTCTATTCTCTACAATGTAGAAAATAAGAATCCTATTATAGGTTGCTGTAACTTAGATAACTTAGATATTAGCATTTGTCACTGTGTCACTCTGTGTTAGTTTGGAAAATACGGAGGTGAAACTTGCCGGACATTAATTTATTTGAGTAAGCTAACAGAAAGTGCATGCTAAGTTAAATTATGTATATTTTTTCATGTATATTATCTGACTACATCATTTGCAGAATATATTTTTATATCGGTATGGGGGCATTTTGAGAGGAGTATAATAACAATATTGCGTTGAGTTTGGGGGGATATAAAAAATGTGTTACATTTTAAATGATCACAGCTGTCAGGGTCAGGCAAAGTAGTTATTTCTCACAA